ATGGGGTTGCGACCCCAAGGTTGGGAACTGCTGTTACAGCAGCAAAAATAGAGAAGCTTGGGTTTAACTTGGCTTTGTACCAAACAGCTGTTTTTTAGGGAGCCTGGTATTGGACTTGAGCTGATAACTGAGCTAAAACTAGGTTCTGTTGTCTTTATTGCTGTTTTAGTCTGGGTTAGGTGGCACAGGATAACCTGAGTTGAGAATCTAATTTAAAGGTGTAGAGCTGTCTTTAGCAAAGTGCAAAACTAGGCTCAGTATGAGGAAAACAAATTTTGGGGTTTTTTTGTGGTGATTATCTTTTATTGGACTGACTACAGTTAGGAGAGATGTTAGAAAAGCTTTTAGGCACAAAGTGTTCTTCAAGTCTGGACTCACCTAAAGAAAAGGCACTTTGTATCTGAAAGAATCTAACATCTGTATCAATTATACAGTCAGTCCAATAAAAGATGTCACAAAACAAACAAAAAGCCTCTGCTTCTGGCATATTTTCTAGACTGTAACAATATTCTAACCCTACTTATACAGGAGGTCAGACATATGAGGTCAGACATTTGACAGTCTCTCCTGAACTTAAACTTTCTGAATTTAGATCTAGAGTTGTAACTCGGTTATACCTCTGTCCTCTTCCCTCTGTGGAATTTATGACCAGCAGCTTTGTTGTGCAAAGTTGGCTCTGAAAATAGCAAGTGCCTGCTATTGATTTTTCTTTCTTTATTCTCTCTCTCTCTTTTTTTTTTACACCCAGTCATTAAACAAAGCCAGTTAATTTCATTTATGAATTTTATTTTTTTTCTTCCATTCTGCTAGTATCACGGTTGTTTTCCACAGTTAGTTTCCTGATCATTAGCAGTACCCACACCTTCAGTTCCTGGTTAGTTACTTTGGAAACCTATGAAAATATCATTTAGTTTCTTGGTTGCAGATGGGAGGATGTATTGCTCAAATACTTGCTTTCAAATATTTAGTCTTAAGTAATTAAAAAAAAAAATCTTAAGAACCTGCAAAAGCCCTTGGACTTGTAGCTAGAATTTCTTCATGGTCATTTTGTACCCGTTTCATTCTTGTACTGTCCTTTTTTTATTTTAAAAAAACAAACAAACCTCAAAAAACTTAGAAAACTCTTCCTTCTCCCTGATGTATTAATACAGTGTAGAGAGAGGTACCAGGTTAGTCTGAAGTCAGTCAGAAGGCAAGGTTAAAACTGAGTAGTACTGGTTATATATTTAAGAAAAATGAATTCACACTGGAATAGAGGTAAAAAAAGAGACAGTAGGATGGTCAGGGAAGTGGACAATCTCTTTTAAAACGAGTGATGAAATAATTGGCCTGCAGAGTCTAGCAAAATGAAAGCTGAAACAGAATGTATCTACACTGTATTGAGCAGAAGGCTGATGTGCTGCTTATAGACCCAGGTGGGCAATTATTTTGGCTGGAGGGTTGCTTAATGAATGAGTTTTGGTGAGCTGTTGTGGGCCAAAAGGACAGTCCCACCCCTTGACATGTGCCTCACCCCCTGGTTGCCATCTTGGGTCTGGGAGTTCCACCACTAACCCCTGACCTTTGACACCAGAAGTCCGTCCCCTTGCCCCTGTAAGTACTTCTTGTTTGGTGGGGCGGGGCTTGCCATCTTGGAACCAGAAACAAACATAATACTAAAAATCAAAATCTTTAAAATACGTTAATTTTATTTCAAAAAAGATTTTCGTCCTGATTTACGTGTGTTTGCATAAAGTATATAGATTCATAGATGTTAGGGTCGGAAGGGACCTCAATAGATCATCGAGTCCGACCCCCTGCATAGGCAGGGAAGAGTGCTGGGGTCAGATGACCCCAGCTAGATGCTTATCTAACCTCCTCTTGAAGACCCCCAGGGTAGGGGAGAGCACCACCTCCCTTGGGAGCCCGTTCCAGACCTTGGCCACTCTAACTGAAGAAGTTCTTCCTAATGTCCAGTCTAAATCTGCTCTCTGCTAGCTTGTGGCCATTATTTCTTGTAACCCCCGGGGGCGCCTTGGTGAATAAATCCTCACCAATTCCCTTCGGTGCCCCCGTGATGAACTTATAGGCAGCCACAAGGTCGCCTCTCAACCTTCTCTTGCGGAGGCTGAAAAGGTCCAGTTTCTCTAGTCTCTCCTCGTAGAGCTTGGTCTGTAGGCCCTTAACCATACGAGTGGCGTATAGAGGTGATTGCATGATAGCACAAAAATAAAGTCTTACTCTTGCATATTGTGTGTGTGTGTGTGGTATGGTTGGGGGTGTGTGTGCATGTATGATGGGGTGCGTGTGAGAGGGTTGAGGTGTGTGGCTGTATGTGGGGAGAGTATTCATCAGGTGGGGTGTGGTTTTGGGTATGTGGGGTGTGAGGACCTCCCCACATGCCCCCACACATGGCATACAGCCCCAATCATCAGTGGCAGGACCAGCAGGTGGCAGGCCCATAGGGTCTCATAGCCCAGGCAAGCACAGCCTGCCTCTATTGCACAGGGCTGTAGGTGGCTCACATGCAGGTCCCAGGACTCCTGATCACCCAGGAGGAAGTCCTATGTGATGAAGCCAGTGATCTGGCCCTGCTCCCCGCTGCCACATGCAGGTCTCAAGACTCTTCCAGGCAGCAGGGAATGGGGCTCCCCACCACTTCCAGGAGACTCCCATGAGCTGCACATGGTGGCAGGGAGCAGGGAAGGCAGCTGCCTCCATCACGTGGGGCTTCCCCCTGGTGGCAAGTGAATCCTGGGAGCTGCATGTGAGCAGCAGGGAGTCCTGCACGATGGAACTGGGCCAAGCTGGGCTCCGCACTCCTGCCCCAGGCTTCACACTCCCGCCAGCCCCAGCTCTGCACTTCCTCCCAGCAGCTTCCCTCCACCCGCTGCTGCTTTCCTACCTGCTGCCTGGAGCAAGCGCTGCAGCAGGGACACAAGGAGTAGCCGCTGGAGGCTAGGGAATCCAAGCAGGTCCCTCGCTGGCTGTAGTAGTCATGCTGGCCAGCGCTGGGGCCAGGACCCTCTCATGCACAAGGGCATAATACAATTAATTGGTGGGTGCCTGTGGGTCAGATGAAATCGCCTGGCAGGCTGGGTTTGGCCCACAGGCTATATTTTGTCCACCGCTGTTATAGATTAAGATATATGTAGAACATGAGCCTTTATGGACTCTAGCTCACTTCTGACCACTTTGTTCCTAGGGGTTCTTTGTTTTGTATACCTCTTCCCAGCACTGGTCTCCTCCCTCTCCCTTCTCAGTTTTGGTATTTAGATCTCTCACTCCACTTCATATGCTGTTCTGTGCTGTCCTTTCACAGCATCTGACAGTGAGAGAAGAGTTCATGAGCTCTTTATATATCTAATTTAGTAGTCTGTAAGGTGCTTGTCTGCCCTGCCTTCTGCTCAGTACAGTGTAGATGCATCCCATCTCAGCTTTCATTTTGCTGAACTCGGCAGGCCAAGTTACTCCATTACTTTCAATAGAGATACTCTATCTGGCCATCTTTGTGCACCTATTACAATGTTAATTTTTCTTAAGTATTTATAGCAAGAATGATAGTGTTCAGATAATGCCTCACAAGGGCTTTCTTTATACATGAATGATTCCCTGTATCTTCTGGTAGAAGACTTGGTACAGGTGTGCTGTATAGACTGTGTAGGAGAAGCTTATGCTTTTGTGAACCACAGCTCACTTCAGCAGATGTTGTTTCACAGCATCTGTCGAAGTGAGCTTTGGCTTAAAAAAACAACTTAATGGATCTCTAATTCAGTTAGTCTGCAAGGTGTACCTCTTCCCTGCCTTCTGTCTGACTCCAGCCTAACATGACTAACTATTTCCCTTTGTCTTCTGGTCATACCTCACCTTATTTGCCTTTTCTACAACATCATGACATTGGTAGTTCATAGTCCACTTACAGTAATGCTTAGGCCTTTCTTCTCCTGTTGCTTCCAGTTAATGAACCCACAATTTACAACAGACATTCTTGTTCCATTGCGTGTGACCTCATTTAGTTAGTGGTAAATTTCATTTAATTCTTACTCCAGGTCTCGGTCTCATCCACTTTATCTTGTAAGATATTCTGAGTCGTTTTATTGATGGTGTCTCCTAAACTTGCATTCTCTCTTTCATTTCATAATTAACTTCCCTCCTTAAGGTTTTTCCTTTCAGTAACCCAACTTTCTGTACCCAGGTTGTTAAAGAAAATTATTTATTATTTTAATATTTTTTTCCTGTTGGTCCTGAGACTTGAGAGGTCCACCAGTAGCCTTTGTCCACCTTGATAGTTCCCCTTTCATTAGAATGTTGGCTTCTTGCAGACATTAAAAAACCAAAAACTGTGCATTACTGAAAGAAACAGTGCATTACTTCAGCCCAGCTCTGCGGTGTCTGTATAGACTGGACTACAATGGAGTTTTTTGGCACTTTTAGCTAAAGCGGATTCAATCAGCTATATTAGATAAAAGTGCTGAAAAAGCCCCCTAAAGTGCCCGATCTTTATAGGCATTGGGTGAGCCAGGTTGAAGTAATGCATTGCCTCTTCTAGGCATGTGCAAGGCTCAGTGCGGGAACGCATAAGTTTAAAGTAACGTGCCATTTTTTTATTGTTGGTTTTTAACGTCTGCAAGCACCTTTTTTGTCTCCTCTTTAATCAGTTCCTTCCCCACCCAGTGTTTGTTGGTACTAACCCCCGTCTTCTCCGGTTCAGTAGTAGATTAGGTCTATCTTATTTGTCTTGGGTAGCTGATCTGTTACTGAAAGATATTAGATTATCTATCTGATACAGTCTACCTTTGATAAGCCTGTATAGCATTTTGTCCCATTTCCTATTTACCCTTTTCTCTAATATTTATTCTCGTCAAAATTAGTCTAAAACCTTGAATATTGTTTAGGTTAAACCTTGTGACGTATGTAGTTTTGAACTAAAACAGTTTATCCATATATAGATATTATTTTTTATTTGTTATGATTTGTGTTACTGGCTTGTAAATATGAAATAGTCTAAAACTCTCTTTCAGCAAATGGTAACGACAACAAGAAATTCAAAGGAGACGATAAAATGGATGGGGCTCCTTCTCGTGTTCTTCATATCAGGAAATTGCCTGGTGAAGTGACAGAAACTGAAGTTATTGCTTTAGGCTTACCTTTTGGTAAGGTAACCAACATCCTGATGCTGAAAGGAAAAAATCAGGTACTGTTTATATTTATGTCCATTACTAGTAGAGCAATTTTTTTTTTTCAAATTTCAAAATATATTGTTAATCCTATGGAAACTAATTATAATGGTAACTAATTTTTTAGTTTGCACTGTTCTTAGCTCAGAGGAAATTATAGCTCACTTTATATTTACATGCAGTGAGTTTGTTGATTTTTCTTTTAACTGAATATATGATCTCTTCCATCCCCCACAAATTCTCTGCTTCCAAGATAATTATTTGGGCCAGCATCTTTAATGATGAAAGTTTAGACATATAGAAAACTTGACTTTAAAGATAGGGGATTTCTAGCCAAATACGGGCTTTTTGGGGGAGTGGGGGAGAGTAAAATTGGAAGTCTTCGTGAATGGTGTGTGTGTGTGTGTGTGTGTGTGTGTGTTACTTTTATAATGTCAAAGAGTAAATAGTCCATAAATACTACAAGACTTTTCTTAATTCTTACGTTATAGGCTTTTTTGGAACTTGCAACAGAAGAAGCCGCTATCACTATGGTTAATTATTATTCTGCTGTGACACCTCATCTCCGTAACCAGCCCATCTATATCCAGTACTCTAATCATAAAGAACTAAAGACTGATAATACACTAAACCAGGTATATATGTATTGTTATGGAGTATTACAGATGTGTACACTCATTTACAAATATAGCGTAGCCTGCATTTGTGGCACACACTTTGTATAATTGAATGTATTTTTGTATCAACCAAATTTTGCTGTAACTTTTGGTTACAGTTCTATTTTATGATATTAGAGGGAACCAGGCATCATTTTGACTTTCACATGTTGCAGTTATGTCAGTGTTGTTACTGTAATTCATTGTTGCTTATAACTGTTACTAACTTAAAGCCATTCATGAAATAACCTTCTGTTTGAAAGTTAGGATTCAAACAAATTTTTTTGGTTTAAGTTGTCAGCGCATGTCGAATTTCCTTAGCATCTATTACTAATGCAGATTCCTATTCCCAGTGTTATGAATCATAAAACTGATAGCATTAGTAACTTTAGTTTATTTGATCTCTTCTTCCTACAGTATAGTTCCTGGAGAAAAATGCATTACAGATCACTCCGGGGGGAAAATGTATTTAATAACTGAGAAATATATTATTTGATCTTGGATATGTGTAAAATCTATTTCAAAACAGGCATAAGACTTTTTTAGTAGAACAGGAAACTCTTTTAAAAGTAACACTTGCAAGAGCAGTAAAGGTCTTCCTTGCATTTGAGGTTGCTGCTTCCTACAAAGAATGGGGAAAAGAAGGATTGACCCATTGCAGCTCAGATGCTAATATCTCAGCATTCATTTCTTATATTCTTTTTTTGATCATACTAGCATTGCCTGTCTGTTGTAAGAAACTACAGTTCCTGCTGTTCTCTTGTCCTATCTGGTATAATAGTGTGTTAATTGCACACTACTTTATTACCTTTTAAGGACATTTTTCTGGAAACTTCCATGCTTGAGACTTTTTTGCTTTCTATTGAAATTAAGTTCATCCTTCATTTTTCTGCCTAGCATTGTGAACATGCTAGATCTTTTGTTGTTCTGAGTATTCCTTGTCTATCAAAGATTATTTAAAAAAATTTTAAATGCTAGCTATAAAAAAACAAACAAAAAAAAGTGGAAAGGTGAAAATGAAAAACAAAAAATCCACCAATACCAGTAATAGGTAGGGCTATATTCACCATCCGTTTTATGCTTACATTTAGTGGTGGCCTTTTTTTGGACCCGTCTCTCTCTGATTAGTAATATTCCGTTCTGATGTGACATCATTCTGGCAGTGCTCTTGCTACAGCAGGTCCACCTCTTTCTTTTTTGTCATTAAGGCAGTTGTTTTACAAGCTTGTTCTTAATTTTTTTTATTTATAATAATGTTCTTGGTCACGTTTCAAGACTGATGCTTGTTGTGATAATATACTCAGTAAAAGACAGGTGGCTGTGATGGGTTTGGACATTCTTGTATTGGTAAGAAAAAGCATATGAGTTTTTGATAGTTGGTGACCAAATTCCCTTCTTAGTTAAATTAATAGGGACACTAAGCCACTTAACCAAAAATGTAGGTAGCAAGATAGTGTTTGAAAGCCTTTGCAACTTTTAAAAGTTGTCCTTTCTTTACATAGAATTTTAAAAGAAAATAAGTTCTGTAAATTACCAGGAAAATGAAGGGAAGCATAAATAGCTTAATTAAGGGGAGAGCAGAGGAAGCTGTAATTAGAACAAGACCTTAATCAAACAAGCACATAAAATAAAAATTAGGGTAATTTTTTCAGCTTTTTATGGGCGTTTTTTTAGCTACTGTTTTGTTAATTTCTTATACTGTTACTTTGCAAGATTGTTACTTTTACTGGTTGCCTTTTAAAAAGACTATTCTCACAGTAGATTTATTAGAGCTATTTCAACATTTTAATATTTCTGTGAATCTATTTTTCTGGGAAAATGCATAAGCAGGACAATTAAATAATGTTAAAGTTATGTTTTAAAACAGACATTTTTACCTAGTGTGTTACGAATAATAGCAATACCTGTTGAACTCCTGAATTGTCAACTTGTCATAATTTCTTTTTTTTAACATAGAATTAGGTTTAGTTATTGTGATGCATTTAAAATTGTGAAGAGAAATAATCAAATACTGTAAAACATAATGAAATTTAAAAAGAAAAATGTAATATTTCTCAAGTTAGATAAACAATTGACTTTTTTATTTACCTGCTTAAACATTTTTAAAAACTTCCTATTTTTTTCCCCAAATACCTTTAAAAAGTAGGGCCACTTGTTTACAAATGTTAAAAATGTAACCTGAATTTGTTTCTTGTTTAAAAACACCTGTTTCTTGTACAATTTTAAGCCTGACCTTATTTTTATGTGCATGCCTCCTTTGTCATGCAGTACTATTAGTCTTAGTGGAATTAAATGTTAGGAATAAACATCAGCTCAGAAGAGTCTTTAAGGCTGTGATCTAGAAAGCAGGTCTTTCAAATTTTTACTCATGTGAGTAATTCTGGTGTCCTTGGTTGGGACCATTTGTGCCAATAAGTGTTGGGGACTTTATGCTGTACAACACAAATTCATTTCAGTTTTTCTTGCAACATAAATTTTGGTACAGTATTATTGGTGTAAAAATTGGAAGAGGATTGAAATAATGAAGCAGCTCTACCAAATGCTTGAGTGGTTTTAGAATGGTGTATACTTTGTGCATTTTTTGAAAATTATTAGCACTATTACTCTCAAAATACTTTTGTCAGAATAGCATTAATTAGTGCTTGACATGAAACAGTAAAACTTGTTTTCCCACATAGTGTTTACCAGGTCTTTCCTTCCCTCCCCCTCCTCCCCTTTTACTTTTCTTATTCCTTAATTCATTTCAGAATGAGGAATATCATGTAAGTTGTGGGACCTGTGATGTGTAGTGGCTCTGATACCTTTAGAATATGCAGTATACATTCATATGGTGGTGATTATTGGTTATAATTCTTACTTTGCACGCACACTTTTGTCTCTTCTGTTGTGTATTGTTTTACCTCATAAAGCTACTGTAATAAAACGTATGAAATAAAATTCCTCTTTTTGCATTCTTTTTAGAGAATCACCTAACAAAAATAACCCTTCTAAAACATGATCACTTTTGGCAATAGAAGTAGTTATGTAGATGTATGCTCTTGTGTTGTTACCAATGTGGTTATCCTCTCAATTTGTAAACCTTTGTTGTTTGGATTAATAAATTCTTGGGTTGCATGTAAGTAGTTTGCTTACCTGCAATCACTTCTTTCTATGTTTGGCCTTACTGTCTTAATTTTATTAAGACACAAATCAGACTATTATGAGTAGAATCCATCATTTTCCATCCTTATTGGAAAATATTCCTTTTATTAGTGAGTTATTAATTCTAATATGGACTTTAGTTAAAAATGGAAAAGAACTCTTAATTTATTGCATAGATTGCAGGAGGGTATGATTTAAATTTTTTTTAATGTTTTTATTATTATTATTTTTTTTTTTTTAAGTTTTGATTTCAGTCCATCAACATAGATTCAAAATCCAAATCAGCCCCATCTTTTTGGTTCCTTTTGGTAAAAGAACATGCTTTCTTTTAGGAAGACTGTTGGCTTCGTTTGAAGCTACTTTCTCTGGTTTGGTAAGGATTAATCAGTATTTTTTTTAGTGTCATCTCTCCCCGTGGTAGATTACAGCTCCAGTTATACCACCCAAATTCTGCATTGCACAACATCTAGTTTTGATAGACTTAGTAGTAGTAGATTGCTGTGCCATTAAAGGAATCTATAAAATGTTCGCTAAAATTTCATTGTATAGTGTTTGCATCTCTCGTGATGTTTTTAAGAGGTGAATGTTTATGATGCCAAAGATAATTATGTGTTGGTTTGCAGTAACAATATGGATACAGCTATATTCCTGAAATATTTTCTTTGTCATATGACATTTTTCTTTTTATTTAGAGGGCTCAAGCTGTACTTCAGGCAGTGACGGCAGTACAGACAACAAATACTCCCATAAGTGGGACTACAGTTAGTGAGAGTGCAGTAACTCCAGCTCAGAGTCCCGTACTTAGAATAATAATTGACAACATGTACTACCCTGTAACCCTTGATGTTCTTCACCAAGTAAGCCAATTTTTTTTTATCTTTTAACTTGCATTTATATGATTTGTAATAGATTTGTGTAAGCATAACCTTTTTATTATTTTTGACAGATATTCTCTAAATTTGGTGCTGTATTAAAGATAATTACATTCACAAAGAATAACCAGTTTCAAGCATTACTGCAATATGGTGATCCAGTGAATGCACAGCAAGCAAAATTAGTAAGTATGAGTTTGCTTTCCAGTAAATTATCTGTTACTTAACATTTTGACAGATGTTGGTATAACAAACTGGTAATTTTAGTAATGTACCAAACTCATCCACCTTTTTTTTTTATTTTTTCAAATAATAATCTGTTTTGATATGAAGAAAAAAATGACCCCAGGTATTGTATATGTGTGGTTTAGTCCCTAGAGTAGTGATTCTCAACTAGTGTGCTGCAAGATCTGTTTAAGGTGACTGCAGCATGCCCCACAGTGTCTGGGTATGTAGGTACAGATGACCTGGGAGTATTCTTCCTGGTTTGTTTTTGTGATAGAAAAAATTTACCTGGAGACCCCTGAACAGACACTCGAATGCTGAGGCCCTGAAGAGTAGAGTGATGCTGTTGCTCAGCCAGAGGACCCCTGTGTACACATCCCGCTGTGATCTGCAGGCTCTTTCAGTTAGCCTGGAGGTAGCAGTGCACAGGTCATCCAAGCAGTGCCCTGATTGGATAACCCAGACTGGTCATGGTCAGCCTCGCTCTCCCTGCAGCAGAGCATGCAGCTTGTGAATGTAGCATGTTCTGCTTCCTGCTGGACTGGAGCAGTAGAGTCCAGCCTGACCAACACACTGTGTCAGGTGATGCGGGAGTTATTGGGTACAGCAAAGCACTCTGGGATGTTGGAGGACTGTGCTGTGGCTTCTCTTACAATATGTGTATGGACATTCAGTCTCCCAGGATAAATTCTTCCAGAGCCACCATTTTTGCTTTGGGAGAAAAATCTCGAACACCTGTACACTTGTGGTCTCTACTCAGAAAGCAGCAACTCTTCTTAGGAGAAAATGAATGTTTATACATGGGCAGTATTGGCACTGTGTAAGGTGTGGAAGCACATATATATGATTCACAAGATGAACCCTATGATTTCAAACATGAATCCGTAATGTGAAAAATATGCTGACGTGATTTTTCTGAGTCTGTTGCTAAAAAAAAAGAACTACTCTAATATTTTTCTGCAGTCAGAAACTGAGTGAAAGTGAAGAGTTGGCATTTTCTGGGGGTGGGAGGTATCTTGAGTCTAGAAAGGTTGAGAATCACTGGTCTAGAGGCTTATGTCAGGATTCATAAGCCACCCTTTTTGTAAAGAACTATACATGTGTAGTAAAAAAGACAGTCTCTTTGCCATGAAGCTTCACCTGAAGCAGGTGGTGAAGCAGTGGAAGAGAAAACAAAAAAGGCAAGGTTGGAATAACAGTGAATCAGTCATGTTTAGTATAGCAAGCAGAAACCTTAGCACATAAGTTGGCTAGTAGGTGTGCATTTTGTAGGCATCAAAGCAGAGGTGAGATTTTTTTTTTTTTCAAATTGATGCGTCTTAGAAAAATATCTCTATTGCTTTTTTTTTTTTTTTTAAGCATATGAGGGATGGGGGGGGAAGTGCCAAATTATTCAAGGGGACAGTGCAGCGTGAAGGCACCGAACTCCATAGTAAATCAGTTTAGAAATACAGTAGGGTTAAGTCATGGAAGGTTGTAAATGTAAAGGCGAATAACTTTTGCTTGAAAGTGGGAAGAGATCCCAGAGAAAAATGAAGAAGTCTGTCATTATCAATATATGATCCTGTTTTGAGTGGACCCACCAGGAATAAGTTTGCATTTATCAAGATAGGAAATGATGAGGGCCTATTTGAGAATTTTAGCAATGGACTGAAATGGAAGGCTAGACTTAGGCAATTTTTAGCGAAGAAATGGTAAGATTTTTTTAGATCTTGAGGTGGTAACCTACATTTGTGGAAGGCTCAGTCAAAGATAATGGAAAAGTTCTGGTATTAAGTGATTTGAAAGCAGGTAGTGTTATCCATGGATGAGAGGAAGGTGGATTTTGGAGGAAATGACCATATTTTCTCACATTCACACACTCCAGAATAAAATACACATCTTTTTTTCCTGTCCTGTCCTGTCCCATCCCATCCTTTCATGCTCTGTTCTTTGAAAGCAGAATGACAAAAAGAAAAGATCTTTTCCTGTAGTAAGTAACTGAGTAAGCAGCAGTCAGGGACCAATCTTATTGTTCTGTTCCCTGAGTCATATGCAGATTTTATTTTTCCTTTTCTCCAGCAAGGCAGAAATTGCTCTTCTCTTACTAAGTTTCTCCAGTGTAAAACACACTACAATTTCCAACCGCTGTTTTTTTGGAAAAAGGTGCATGTTGTATGTGCAAGAATAATAGCACAGCTTTGGCCAGCCTCAGCTAAAGTTGACAAGTAGCACCTGTAAAAAGAGAAAAGAAAAAGCAGACTATATCCTTTGTATTAACAGTGAAGACTAATATGAAATAGTAAGGTAGAGCTGAGAGCGGTCATCATAAAGAAGATAGATGAAGAAGCCTTCAAATATGTGATTACCCAGTTATTGGGTACAGAAGAAGAGGAGATGACCAGACAGTGCCCTTCAGGATCCATACTGAAAGCGTAAGAGTGGGTGACAGAACCTTCAAAAAGATACTGAAGTAACATTTAGGAAAGTAGGAGGATAAGCAGGAAATGGGAGAAGTCACATGAAACAAAATACAAGTTTTTGAGAAGAGAATCATGGTCAGTCCTGTTTACGGTGTTCTGCAGTTGAGAAAATGTCAAACTTTAAAATTTCTAGTTATAGATGGGAAGGCTTAGTACCAAATTGATCTTGGAAAAGCACCTTTCTGTAATATTTTTCCCCCCAGATGTCTATATAGATTTACAATATAATTATGAACATAGCTCTTTCCAATACAAATCATGTGGTGTCAGAGGTGAGGGGAAAGCACGTATTACAATAAATTTTGTTTTAAAATGATCCAGCCTGTCCATACATAAGCTCCAAACTTTAAATTTTAAGTAATTTTAATAACAAAGAAACTGGATTTTCTCTTTAAATGATTCATTATTACTATAACAATGATTGTTTAACAACTCAAAGGGGAGTTGTCTGTGTTTAATTTTTTATTTCAGAATGTCTGTATATTTGTACAGACATCTTTATGTTGGTTGACACTTGTTTTGCATTTGACAAGTTCTCTCTGACAGCAGTTTAGGGTTTGTTTTTGGTTTCTTTTAACAAAAATGTAAATTCACATTTTGGAGCAAACTCATAGCAAAGGGTAGATTCTGTAGCTATAGATTGTATGTGCCCTGCCTATGCTGTTCAAAGATAATTTCAGGTAGGTGACACCTAAAAAGGAACACACTTGATTTTAATTCAGTTAACAGCGGTAAAGCTGGATACTATAGACTCTAGTTCCAGTATGAGCTAAATATGTGAAAGGATTAAAAGAACTTTCAAGTAACTTGCAACACTTAATTTTTAACACATTGACATTTAATCTGATGTGATAACCAGTTATGATATGAAAAGCAACCCTTCTTTTTAAAGCAGCATGACTTAGTTTTGACAAAGGATAATGCAAATGTGAGTTAGTATATTGGAGATAGAATCTATGTGAAACAAAGCATCGTAGGGTAATAGTGATGCTCTTTGTGCTCATGTTAGGTACCATATTTACTCAAATACAAGACAAGGGTTTTCTCCAGTCAGCATGGGAAGAAAAAAATCCCCTCATCTTATTATCACATACAAGGAAACATCATTAAATATAATGTCTACTGGTAAACTGCTGCCAAAAGCAGCATGAGCTCAGCAATGGAAACTAACTATGAAGTTGATTAAATGCAGCCAGCACTGAGCTTAACTATAAAACACATTGCCCAGGTGGGGCAAACATACTGATGGGAACTTTTTTTCCATTAAAAATAAAAACAGGCAGGTGTTCCCTCTGGAGGAAACTGGCACTGGGCCTGAAGGTACTCTGGGCCTGGAGGTACAGCAATACCAGGCTGAGACCGGGACGGCCAGAGCCCTCCCTGACATCCTCCTCCTTGTGCCAGAGATGCTTAATCTTAGCCAAAAGGTCAAGATGCTGATAGAAACCTATCAAAAGGACAGATTAGTGTAACCCATCTGAATAAGACATGATAGCACAGTCATTGAGCACAGTCCCCTTCAGCATTGACTCTTTCAAGTCATGGTGAGCCACCACAGTGCATATATTTTTACTTCCTCTTCATGCCCACAGTTGAGCTGCAGCTTTTTTTCTCATTTCCAATAATTCCTCTTTCTTCACCAGCCATAAATGCCTAGCAAACATCACAAAACAGTGCCCCAAACTATTTACCCAGGATCCTTCTATAGCCCCCTCTCTTAGCCTGGTGCATATGATTAATGTGACCCCACCCTCCATGAAGTGAAACCAGACCGGTTTGCCTTGTGCCTCATCTGTACGTACATTTTTGGAGCATCCTAGGACTCATGACAAGAACACCCAGTTCTAGTCATGAGTGGGGGTACTAGTTAGCACGTAGATCCTTTGTGGGGGTGTATCTGGAATATTTCATAGTTTCGTAATTTCATAGTTGGTAGGGTAGGAAGGGACCTGAGCAGATCATCAAGTCTGACCCCCCTGCCATGGCAGGAAAGAGTATTGCGGTCAAACGAACCTGGCAAGGTGTTCGTCTAGCCTGCTCTTAAAGACCCCCAGGGTAGGAGCCAGCACCACTTTGCTTGGAAGTTGGTTCCAGATCATAGCCGCCCTGACTGTGAAGTAGTGCCTCCTGATGTCTGTGCGGGCCGGGCACGAGCCGGGCCCTTTTTCGTGCTGCACGCGGGCTGTGGCCAGCAGCCTGGGCACGCGGGGTCGGAGAGAGGGCGCGGGTCAAGCTAGAATTAGGCACAGACTCGTAGCGGTAGATTGAAAGATTGTTTACTTACACCAGAGATGGTTGCGGTGCAGGCTGGAAAACTTGCTTGAGTTGCGGTTATAGACAAAGACAACACGAACGATCACGTGGAGTTTGCTAGGCTCCACGGAAACAGAGCTCCGGATGCCCTGGACAAGCGCGCCACCGAAATGGAAACCTCGTAGATACGTCTTATAAAGAATTATCGCTCAAAGACGGAAAGAGGTGGGCGATGGATCAGGTTG